TGTCGCTACGTCACACAGTGGAGTCTCTCTGATTGGTTGATGCGGCGCGTCGAGCTGCAAAAGTTCAGATTTTCTAACTTCAGTGATTTGCTCCTCAGCACGTAGAACGCTCAGATCGTTCAAATCGCGCTGCTCTAATCGCGCTTGAGGCGCTGCAGCACTTCCCAACGTTGCTTGAAGCGCGTCCACCATAGACTTTGCATGTAAACCTGATGCTCCTGATGCTGAAATCAGGTTTGGTGTGAACGCAGCATAAGTGTCACCAACGGAACCAGAACCACAGAAACGTGCGTACGCCAGCCCTGGAGTTGGCGTGGGGCTGCACACATTTCCACCTTCATTTCAGTCTTGATACATCTGGAGTTTTGCGTAAAAAAAAGCGTACGCAAGGTTTTTCTGTGTACGCACCGTTGATCCACGAGGCCCCAGGTGAGCCAATACATTCATTAACGTCAGCACCGTTATCATAAACACAGGCTATACTCGACCCTTGAATAACACGGTCATTATTAAAAACTGACCAGGCTGCAGAGGTTTACATATAACACCACTCACCCTGACGGTCCACGCTCGCACCTCATCTGGTCCAGCTGTGAAGAAGTATTCCAGCTGCAGCGCTGCGTAACCCGTCTTTATTATTTTGGTCAGAACACTAAAACACAAACAGACCAGAGGAACACGCAATAAAGAGGCAAACAATGAGAAATGTGTGTTTTATATATCATAAAGCTCTACATCTCTGATTTCTTTATTGAACATCACCTCCATGTTGGTGCAACTAAAAATCCTGGCATTGCAAGTTTCATTAGAAATCTTGCAATCTGATATACTTATTTGTGGATGCAATGTTWAATTGCTGTAAAATACAAAAAATACCCATCTTTGCTTTTTGATTTGTAAATATGAGGATTTACAGTTTTTAATTTGTTTGTCTATTACATATTTTTGCATTTAGAATGGGTTTAAGAAATTATTCCCTATATGCTGCCACTTCTTAAACTCAATATCAAATTATAACAAATCACAAAACCCAACATAAAAAGAGAGTATTTTGTCAGCTGTCTAACCTCTGTGTTTTCTGTTCCTCGCAGTATTTATTCCTCTCCTCTTCTTCCATGTCCAGCAGTTTCGACTCCACAGCGCCGCTCAGGGGAATGACCATGGCACCGGGATCATGAGCATCTACCCACTCTTTGATTTTAGCCAACCTGAAGGGAAGAGAAGGCAGAGAGRTCAGCTATCATTAAATATTGTTCCAGAAGTTCATTTGTGAAATCAAAAGGCCCAGCAGTCCCTGAATGAACACGTCAGAAAGTCAGCTCAAAATGTGTGTTGAGGAAATCTCTCAGCTACGACCACAGCAACTGTAGCTCATTAGATGTAAAATTAACTGTATTTTAGCCACTTTTCTGYTGGTTTATGTCAATTAGCTGCAGTTAAGGTCAATCGGTTGTAKATATCTGTTTAGTGATTACTTTGAATGTTTTGTTCAAGTATGTCTGGTGGTTCATGAGATATTTTGCTAAAGGCACAGACAAACAAACACACAGCAAAAAAACCAGACAAATACCACAAGTTAAAGAGAACAAACAAACCATTTGTTCTTCTTTCGAATGTAATCCTTCTCAGAGAGATTAACCAGGTAGATCATGGGCTTTGATGTCAGAAACAGATATTTGTTCAGGACCTCAATCTGCAAAGATCAATTAAACAATGTGAGTRATTGAGCAGTTTATACTGAAAAAAAACAAAAAACAACAACAACACTATGAATACTCTATCAGTGTTTGCAGTGATATCATGCCTTTGGTCAGAAAGTAGCAACGCAGTTAAGGGTTCTTAAATTGAGGTCCCAGGATTCCCAGGGGTCCGTGAGGTATAGCTTTGGGGGTCCCCAAAATAAACTATCCTAAATCAATTATGTCATTTAATTTTGAAATAACATATTTAACTAAAAAATGTATTAAAAAACATTATTCCGGCAGTCAATGGCAGTAAAGTATGTTTAATCAGCTTGAGGTATTTGAGGAAATTCCTGGGAATTTCTCTCCTGTTCGAGAAGTCCTGCAGTAAAGGCCTTTTAAAAGCAAAACAAGCCAAAGAAAAAAAAAAATCACACACAAACTTTCCCCTCCAAACATTAAAGTAAAAATAAACAAACCCCTTTCTACATGAATTAAGTAAAAAATACAAAAATAAGCACAAGGGATAAATCTGACAAAAAAAAGGTTATTATAAGGGATTAAAGTCTCGCTTAAATGCCAACAATAAAGTATTTATAAACATGATTCGGCGGACAAAAAAAAAAATAACACCCTGACTTGTTTTAACTCAGGATTACCCACAAATCTATACAAACTTGTGGCGGTACAGTACCTCTTTGTCGTTCCAGTCGTTGTAAAATCTGATGTGTTTTTTCTCCTCCACCACCCAGTTCTTTATCTTCACCATGATATCCTGAAGGATCAAGCACCACATTTGCTATTGAAATCAAAATCAGGGGAACAGACACMTTCAAATAGCTGCCACAGACACATCATTCTTACATATTCAGGTTTTAGCTTTTTGTCTCCTCCTCTGACGGCGGTCTTCTCGAGTTTGTCTATGATCGGGTCGATCATTTCCTCGTCCTTCAGCCGCAGCTCCTCRTGAATGATTTCAATGTCTCTCACTGGGTCCACGTTGCCCTCCACGTGGATAATGTCCTCGTCGTCAAATGCACCTAAAAATGAAAAAAGCGGGAGCAGAGTGTTGACAATGTTACAAAAAAAAGACAAAAAAATTGAAACAGAAGAAGCCTCTCACGAGTCATATGGAAAATGGCATCGCAGGCACTGATGTGGGAGAGGAAGGCGTTTCCAAGTCCTTGTCCTGAGTGAGCCCCCTTTACAAGACCAGCAATGTCCACAACATTCAGGAAAGCAGGAACCTTACTGAGAGGATTTATAAAGAGCAGGACAGAGAATCATCGAGCCAGCGATTAATGGATACTGGATAGATAAGAGTAATGATATATCGCTAAATACACACCTGGCTGGTTTATGGTACTGGCACAGGAAGTCGAAGCGCTCATCAGGCACAGGCACCCTGCTTTCATTTGGATCGATGGTGCAGAATGGGAAATTTTCTGCAGCTGCCTGGCTTTTTGTCAGCACGTTGAAAAAAGTGGATTTTCTGCAACATCGAGTCATGTCACATGATCAAACTCATCAGTTTTACAAACTAAGATATATTTATCAATGTTGTTCAAGTTTCACATTTACCCAACATTTGGCAACCCCACAATGCCAATTTTTAGAGAAGTCCCAAATCGTCCGATTAATGGAGGAGGTTTGGGAGCTTCTGTCTTTTTTGGAGGCATCTGCAAGATAAAATCAAATATAACAGTAATGCAAGCTGATTAAATCATTAACAGGGAAATGCCTACTCATTAGTTTCTTTGTAACATCTCCCAAGTGTTTGATGTCTCTGCCATTTATCACATTTTCCTGAACAAGCTCCACTGAGAACGTGTGGAGGCAGATCTGATGCTCATTCAAACACGTTAGCCTTAGCTTGTGGCTAACTGGAACCACCCCGAGGTATTTTCTCACAGAGATCACTTATAGAGGGCAAACACGTTTTTCTGCGTCGTCCGTTCATTAACACGTTGTGTACTGCTGCAAATAAACAAGACACTTTCAAACCTTTCAAAGTCCTTTCTCAGCCTATGAACTACGTGGTGTTAGCTCCACTGGTATCTTGCTCCCAGCAGCCACTCGGTGGAAAAGGCAGGACAGGAAGCAAACCGGAAGTGTTTTGTCGTATAAACGTCTCTGATTGGTCGAGACCGAGAGATGTGGTGACACGTCACTCTTTTCCTTAGTTTGTGGTGCTTATAAACACCGAAAAATAAGTCACAAATATATCGTCTCTGTACTCTAGTAGTCTAAAACAGCTTCTTTTTTTTTTTTTTTAATTCCGGTTAATACAAATAAAACATTCGTGCCATCTGCTGCTGTTTATAAATCACCACTAGAGGTCACTGTTTACTGCTTCTGCCATAGACTTTGTGTATGGTCTTTGGCAGTATTTCCCAAAGTTGGGGTCGGGACCCAAAGTGGGGTCCTGAAACATCAAGGTGGGGTCCTGAAAAGATTTTCTGAATTAATTACATTTTTGCCTTAGTTGTTACAAATGAGTGAGGCTAGTGTATT